GGGCTGTGGATGTGGGCTGCAGGGGTCCAGGGCAGCGGGATGCAGGGATACGGAGCTGGGGGTGTGGGCTGCAAGGGTACAGGGCAGTGGGATGCAGAGTTACAGGGCTGGGGATACTCGCTGCAGGGGTGCAGGGCATTGGGATGAGGGATACAGGGCTGGGGATGTGTGTTGCAGGGCTACAGGGCAGCAGAATGCAGGGATACGGGGCTGGAGATGTGCGTTGCAGGGGTACGGGGTATTGGGATGCAGTGATACAGGGTTGGAAGTGCGGGAGGAAGGGGTACGGGGCATCGGGATGTGCGCTGCAAGGATACAGAGCTGCGGGATGCAGGTTGCAAGTATGTGAGACAGTGGGACATGGGATGCAAGGATACGGGGCTGTGCTAGCCAGGCTGCAAGGGTACAGGACTGTGGGATGCACGCTGTGAGGATATGGAGCTGCGGGATGCAGACTGTGAGGATATGGGGTTGCAGGAGCTGGGTTACAAGGATGGGGTGCTGCAGGATGCAGGGATAGGGTGCTGCAGGATACGGGGCTGGGAGCTGCAAGGTTAGAGGGCTGCTGCATGCAAGCTGTAAGGATATGGGACCAAGGGATGCTGGCTGCAGGCTGCAAGGATGGAGGGCTGCGGGGACATGGGCTGTAAGGATGCAGGGCTGTGGGATCAAGGGCTGTGGGGTGCACCGCTACAGGGCTGTGGGATATGGTTTTAGAGGATGTGGGAATATGGGGCTGTGGGTTGTGGGATGTGAGGATACAGAGCTACATGTACACAAGATGCAGAGAAACAAGGCTGCGGGATGCAGAGATACAGGGCTGTGGGGTACGCAGCAGCGGGGATGCAGGATATGGGAATACAGGGCTGCAGGATGCGGGATACACAACTGTAGGATGCGGGATGTGGGAACACGGGAAGCAGGATATGGGTAGACGGAGTTGCAGGATGCGGGACTATGGGAAGCAGGATATGGCCAGACAGGGCAGCAGGATGCGGAGATACGAGGCTGCGGGGTGCGGGGACATGGGATTCAGGATACAGGGCTGCGGGGTGCAGGGTTTGGGGATGGGCGATTTGGGCTGCAGAGGAGCGGGGCTGTGGATGCGGCGTGCAGGGAAGCAAGCACCCTGGGGAGCAGGCTGTGCCGAGGGGCAGCGGGAGGCAGAATCCCCTGCCCTGGCAGAGGGGTTCCTGCAGCCCCCCCAGGGCTTTGCACCCCCATTCTCCCATTGCGCCGAAGTGCCGGGCACAGCCTGACCCTGCTGCTGGGACAGCCCTGCGTGGGGTCCCATTCCTCAGCCCCTCCTCGTGCCAGCACCAGGAGCCCGCTCAGGTGCCGAACTGGCCAAGGGAGCCCTTCCCACCCCAAGGGTGCCCTCTCCCCGGGTGCCCCCGCGCCCCGGCCGGCACCGGGTGGCCGAGCCGGTGTCACAGAGCTTCGCTTTCCCCTTCCAGGCCAGTCGTGGAAAGCGCTGAGCGCCAGCGACAAGCGTCCCTTCGTGGAAGAGGCAGAGCGGCTGCGAATCCAACATCTCCAGGATCACCCCAACTACAAGTACCGCCCAAGGAGAAAGAAGCAAGCCAAGAAAATCAAGAGGATGGAACCCAATATCCTCCTGCATAACCTTTCCCAGCCTTGCAGTGACAACTTCAGCATGAGTCACCATGGCGGCAGCCAGCCGGGCCCCCCCC